CATAATTTTTTGTAGTTGAAATATTTGGAAACAAATTCTATACTTTTATTATTTATATTTTTATTATTTTTAATTACATTTTTTATGCTGTCCTTACAGTCTAAATATGATATATTTCTCTACGTAACACAGGTTTATAGTCCTGTTCGAATTTGAAGTAATTTATTGATTTCATTTGTCTAATTTTCCTAACGTGATTCGTTAGGGAAATTAGCCGTTTGCAGGTTAATCGGATGATGTTACAGCGGTATGCTGTTAATTGTTGCATATAACAAAGTGATTATTACTTTATCCCCTATTATTCAATGTTTCCTAGTAGAATGGAAGGTAATGTCTCTCAATATGTACATTTATTTTTTACTATTATATAGAAAGCAAAGTTAATATTTTTAGAAATACAGTTAATTGATTTATGCGTAACTAATAAACTCTTCTTTAATTACATATGTAGTGGATTTAAAGGTTATTTAACGGAAGACATCTGTAACATAGATAAAATTTAGGTAAAATGAAATGGCGTTTTATAGAAATTTAGATTTTTTTTTTGCCTTTTTTCTTGTTTGTTTACACTAGAAATTTTGTATGTAAATAAAAACATTTTGCAAAAACCTAGAAATAAACTTGCAGATCGTTATTGATTTGAATAATTCGCGTTTTTCTTTCAGTTTGCTCCCGTTTTTTGTTTCTATCGACTGTGTTCAATTTTGTACTCTTTTCGTAAGTTGTACGAGACAAACTTTGTATTTTCCATATAAAATACGCGAGGCCCAGCTCGTCGCGTCGGATGATTGGGAACTGGAGCGAAACATTTGCTTCTCGCTTCGAAGGCTTCTCCGTAATTTCAATCGTTTATCTGACAGCTGCTTTTAGTTTGATTTTTGTTTATACATATATCATGTAAACTGTGTATCTAAAAAGCGTCATGATTAACTTAGTTAAAATTGACACACGTCTAAAATATCACATGTCTAAACTAAGTTTTCCTCTTTTGATCTCCTTTTCTTTAATCATATGCAGGAAGTTTAAACAATATGCCTGTAAAAATTTAACTAAACAATTGATAAGCATTAACTGAATAGATTAGAGGTAAAGTTTTTTTCGCATTATACTTCAAACTTTTGAATAAAAAACTATTCGTTTAGTGCGAGTGAATGCGTGATGTTTGCGAACTATTAATCATTTGGTATATATTCGATATGTTTGTCTCTCTTTTATATGTGAATAAAGTTTGAACATTCAAAAATATCCAGAGATATCTTTTACCGGTCGTCCATCAGGACCCATCAGGATCGTATTTCGCTGTGTACCAGTTTCCGTATA